TAAAAAACAAACAAACAAACAAAACAAAAAAACAGCAACATTTCCATCTCAACAAACAGCTTAAGGTTGTTGGCACAACTATAATTCTGGCTACTTGAGAGGCAGATGTAGGAGGATTGTGGTCCAAGGCCAGTCTTCTCTGAAAGACAACAGGGAAAGAAGCTGGAGGCCTGGTTCATGTGGCAGAGCACTGAGTTTAATCCCCAGCACTGCAAAAACAAGCAAAACAGTAAATACAAACACCAGTAGCTCAGTCATACAATACTATGGTATGGACTTCAACTAACTGTATGTGATCAACTTTTCTTTTTCTCCTTTATTTATTTACTTATTTGTGCTTATCCTGAGGCTTGAACTCAGGGCCTGGGCACTCTCCGTGAGCATTTTTTAATTTTTTTATTTTTTATCAAGGCTGGCATTCCACCACTTGAGCCATAGCTCCACTTCTGGCTTCACAGACTTTTCTACTTGGGCTGGCTTCAAATTGCGATCCTCAGATCTCAGCCTCTGAAGTAGCCTGGATTATAGGCATGAACCACAACAACCACAAGAAAAAGTTGGGTTCCTGCTAATTAGGCATTCCCTCATCCCATTAATCCCAGCAGCTGTAGTGCCAGCTAAGACTGGGTGTGGCAGGAAAAGGGTCTCAGGTGCCCACAGCGGGGGATGCTGTAGGCTGGAAGTGCTTTCTTCACTCTGCAGGTGTGTGGGACACATGTGGATCCCCGCACACACTTGTGGTTGTCACACATCCCAGGGGATACTGAGCGTGAGACCATCCATCAGGTCATGATTGGGATGTCACAGTTCTGGGAAAGGACATTCAGTTCTGGAAGGCTTTATCTAGCACAGCCCCTGGCCACAGCAGGACAGGGACAGCTGGGGATCTCTTTCCCAGGGAGCCAAGAGGATGCCTGGACAGCGACAGACACACACCTGTCACATCTTTGTTCTGACTCTCTGCCATCATTTATAAAGCGCCCTTTGTCCATTCATAGCCAGTTTAATACTTGGCTGTGTGAGCCAAGCATAGAAGGGAACAAAAGGGATTTTCATTACGTTCTGCTTTCTGTGAACCCAGCTTTCTAGGAAAGAACTCAAGCTGATTTCATTCAGTCCCTTTCTAAGTTTTACTTTTTATGCCCATACCAGCTCTTGAACTCAGAGCCTTGTGCTCTTGGTGATCGTTTTTGTTCAAGGCTGGCACTCTTACCACTTGAGTCACAACTTTACCTCCAGCTTTCTGCTGGTTAATTGGATATCAGAGTTTCTTGGATTTTGCTGCCTGGGTTGGCTTTGAGCCTGATCCTCAGATCTCAGCCTCCTGAGTAGCTGGGATGGCAGACGTGAGCCACTAGCACCTAGTTCATGAGATACTTTGTAAGTTAGACATGCTCTAAAGTGAGTGATTTTTCAAATTAGTGATTTGTTAACTGATCCCAAACCAGGGGGAGGAAGGAAAAAATAGGTGCTTGCTTAGTTGCTTTCTTTCTTTTTTCTTTTTCTTTTTTTCTTTTATTGTCAGTCATGGGGCTTGAACTCTGGGCCTGGGTGCTGTCTCTCAGCTCTTCAGCTCAAGGCTAGTGTTCTACCACTTGAGCCAGAGCACCACTTTCGGTTTTCTAGTGGTTTATTGGAGATAAGAGTTTCACGGACTTTCTTACCCAGGTTGGTTTTGAACTGTGATCCTCAGATCTCAGCCTCCTGAGTAGCTAGGATTATGGGCATGAGCCAAGAATGCCTGGCTCGCTCTTTCTTTCTTTCTTTCTTTCTTCTTTCTTTCTTTCTTTCTTTCTTTCTTTCTTTCTTTCTTTCTTTCTTTCTTTCTTTCTTCTTTCTTTCTTTCTTTCTTTCTTTCTTTCTTTCTTTCTTTCTTTCTTCCTTCCTTCCTTCCTTCCTTCCTTTTTTTTGGGGGGGTCTGGTCATGGGGCCTGAACTCTGGGCCTGGGCGCTGTCCCTCAGCTCTTCAGCTCAAGGCTAGTGCTCTACCACTTGAGCCACAACGCCACTTCCGGCTTTTTTCTTTTTGCTTATGTGGTGCTGAAGAATTGAACCCAGGGCCTCAGGCATGCAAAGCAAGCACTCTACCACTGAGCCACCTTCCCAGCCCCTTCCTTCCTTTCTTTCTCTCTCCTCTCCTCTCTCTCCTCTCTCAGTCTCTCTCTGTGTCTCTGTCTCTCTCTCCTCTCTCAGTCTTTCTCTCTCTTTGTCTCTCTCTGTCTCTCTGTCTGTCTGTCTGTCTCTCTCAGCCAGTTGTGGATCTTGGACTCAGGGCCTGGGTGCTGTCCCTTGAGCTCTTCAGCTCAAGGCTGGTGTTCTACTACTTGAGCCACAGCGCCACTTCTCATGGACTTTCGTCCTGTGCTGCTTTTGAACCACGATCCTCAGATCTCAGCCTCCTGAATAGCTGGAATTACAGGTGTGAGCTATCAGTGTCTGGCTTAGGTGCTTTACTTACAATGAGGACTACTTGCCTGGGAAAAGAGTATTTTCCTTTGCGCTCAACAAGTACATTAAATATTTTCATACTGGATAATCACAAATCTTCCTGGAGCCCGCCCAGCCCTGCCCTCAGCCCAATCCCATGCCAGCAAGTCCAGCAGGAGCCACATTGGCTTGCTTTGAGTTATCAGTTCACAGGCTTCTCCCTTCCCCCAAGATTTTTTTTTTCAATACGAATGTTAAACCGATGCCAGTGGCTCATGCCCAGCTACTTAAGAGGCTGAGATCCGAGGATGGCAGTTTGGAGACAAAATATGTGAGACTCTTGTGTTCAGTTAACAACCAAAAAGCCAGAAATGGAGGTGTGGCTCAAGGGGTAGAGTACCAGCCTTGAGCAAAAAAGCTAAGGGAAAGTTCAAGGCCCTGAGTTCCAGCCCCAATACTGACACCAAAAAGAAGAAAAAAAAATTCTGTTTGTGGCTCATCCAAAAACCACAGATGGCCCCTGGGCTGGGACACCAGCTCCATCTCCCCCTGGGAGACCGCCTCTTCCAGGCATCCTCAGAGAAGCTGTGATTAAGTATTTACTAGCAGTGCCTCTGGCTGGGCTGTCTCAGCAGAAGGTTCTTGGGTGAGGAGTGGCTTGTGATTCTGAACAAGCATCTAGATAGGATAAACATCTGTTCTTCAGTTACTCAGAAAGGCCTCGCAGCACCCCTCCTCCTGCTTCTGGGAGGCCTCTGCTGCCTCATCCCCAGCTGTATTTAGTCACAGATTTTCCAGAGCCTGCTCCAGTCTGGGGTGGAAACCTAGGGCAGTGACTCAGATTTTTAACTCGTGGAAAGGGTGGGGATAAGAGATGACATCATAGCCTCTCGTAGTTGTGACAGAGATGGGAGGGGCGGTGGCGTCCGCACTCAGCCCGCCTGACTGTGATCCATCCATTTTCTGTAGCTGTAACAAAATACCCTAGACCACGTCATTTATGAAGATTGGAGGTTTGATTGGAGGTTTGCTTGGCTCATAGTCTGGGCGGTGGAAAATACAAGCGCCTGGTGCAGCATCTGGCGACAGTCTTCTTGACTGGTATCACAGCTTTTCAGGGGGCATTGTGTGGTAAGACAGGGTGAGTGGGTCAGTTCAGACCTCTGTCTGCTTACTAAGTCCCAGTGTGAGGATTTCATCTTGTCCTAATGATCTCCGCCAAGCCTTGCCTTCAAATGCCATTACATTGTCAATTGAGGATTAATTAATTCCATAAGATCTGGAAGACAGACTCAAACTTGAGCACTCTGCTATCATGGCATTCAACCTACCCTTATCCCTTCCCCCACCCTTTTCTTTGTGGTAGTACTGGGATTGAACTCTGGAACGTGCACACCAGTGCTCTCTCACTTGCCTGTCCCTCTCTCCATTGGTTATTTTCAAGATAGGATTGTGCTTTATGTCTGGGCTGGCCTGGACTGTGATCCTCCTATTTCACTGGGATTACAGATGTGTGCTGCGACACCCACTCTCAGGCTTGCTCTGTATCGAGGGATGACAGGGCACATGCCACTGAGCACTGAAGGCACACTGCCTTCCCTGCAGCTGGGGTGAAGGAGGCATGCCACCACACTCAACTATTGATTGAGGTGCAGTCTAACCTTTATGCCTAGGGTAGCCTTGAATGGCAATCCTCCAATCTCTGTCTCTCAAGTTGTTAGGAATATAAGCTCAAGCCATTATGTCTGGTTTACTTTAGTGATTTCCTTCCTTCCTTCCTTCCTTCCCTTTCTTTCTTTCTTTCTTTCTTCTTTCTTTCTTTCTTTCTTGTCAGTCATGAGGCTTGAACTCTGGGCCTGAGCACTATCCCTCAGCTCTTCAGCTCAAGGCGAGTACTCTACCACTTGAGCTACAGCGCCACTTCCAGTTTTCTGATGGTTTTTATTGGAGATAAGAGTTTCATGGACTTTTCTGCCCAGGCTGGCTTTAAACCGTGATCCTCAGATCTCAGCCTCCTGAGTAGCTAGGATTACAGGCATGAGCCACCAGCACCCCGCTTGGGATTTTCCTTTTAAGTAGGGTATCTGTGGCTGACCTTGATCACTATCCTTCTGTTTAGCTGGGATTAAAGGCCTAAACCACTACTCTTGGCTGGCTACTGTTATCTTGTTACCCTTAAGACAGAAACCACAACTGTAAAACAAAAAGTTAAACCAAAGCCAGGTACTGGTTGCTCATGCTTGTGATTCTAGCTACTCAGGAGGCTGAGATCTGAGGATCCCGGTTTGATGCTGATTGTAGATGGCCAGATGGACTTGATTAGGTTGTTGTGGGGAAGGGGGGGTCTCCTCATGCTGGGAATTGCTCTGACATAACCTGACAGCTTGTACAGAGGCCAGCGCCATGCCCAGGGACTTCCCAGCCTCTAGACTATGAGCCCAGTAAGCCTCCACTCTTGATAGAAACCAGGTGGTCTTGGGTGTTTTGTGATAGCTAGATGGGGCGGTTGCAGTAGCACTCTGTTCTGCCTTCCCAGTTTCCATCTTCAGCTCTGACTCATTCTCTTTCTTCAGCTGTACTGGGTCATCTGGAGGATGACATTGTGACTCCTGGTGCTGAAGGCAGCGTGCTAACACTGGGTGCTGAGGATGGAGTGGTGACCACAGGCCCTACCCAGGGGCCCCAGGTGAGTAATCCCAGAGGAGGGGAGGTTTTGAGAGGACACGACCATGTGCGAGGACAAGCGTGTAAAACTGTGTAAACTAGCATGGGCAGATACCAGGGAACAGCTGGGTAGCTCACCAAAAAATCTACTTCCCAATTTCACCCAGACAGGAGGTGGCTGGTGGGTTGGTCGTGAGTCACTTGAGCGTCGTAGATGAGGCCTTTTCAAACTAATAAAGGACCCAGGTAGTAAAGCTTGCAAGATCTTTTGGCATGTGGGGACAACATTCCTGCTGTAAGTTCCAAAATATGTAGTCTCAGCTTCTTATTTCACCACAGATGGGTAAGGAGTATGGCTGTCACCAGGCACAGACAACACTAATCATTGGAATCTCAGCAGACGCACATTTCTTCACATGATAAATTCTAATTGACTCGTGTATGTGTGTGTGTGTGTGTGTGTGTGTGAGTGTGTGTGACTACAGGGGGCTTGAACTTAGTACCCTCTGCTCTCGGTTGTTTCTGCTCAAGGTTGGCGCTCAACCACTTAAGCCACAGCTTTACTCCAGCTTTTTGGTGGTTAATTAAGGATAAGAGTCTGTGGACTTTCTACACAGTCTGGCTTTGAACTGAGATACTCAGATCTCAGCCACCTGAGTAGCTAGGATTACAGGTGTGAGCTAGTGCCTGGCTTTAAAATCAGTTTCTTGTTGTAGTTTGGGGTTTGTATTTCTGACCATTGACATTGTCTTTTACTTACTGGACAATTGTATATCATCTTTGGAGAAATGTCTGTTCAAATCCATCATCTGATTTTTAATTGAGTTATCTAACATAGGTTCTTTTTCATTCCTTTGTTATTTACTTTTTGTTAAGTTATAAGAGTTTTCCTTTTTGTTTTGGTTCTTGTCTTTGTTTTTGTTTGCTTTTTTGAGACAAGGTCTTACTATATAGCCCAGGCTGGCTTTGAACTTGGTCCTTCTGCCCCAGCCTCCCAAGTGCTGGGATTACAGGTATGCATCATTATACCAGGTCCTCCTTGTAGAAACTTATTTATTCATTCATTCATTTAGTTTATCATTATTACAAAGGTGATACACAGAGGGATAAAGAATGCATTTCTTTTTTGGACACTGTCACCCTTTACCTAGGTTTTTCCCTCCCATCCCTGCCCACAAGTTTACAGTTCATTTTCAACATAGTTTCTACTGTGTACCCTGGCTTGTAGACATTTTTATATGCATACTTCCTCCCATCCCAGGGCCCCTCTCACTTTCTGGGTTGAATGCTTTGGTGCACAGGTGTTCTTGTTTGTTGTGCTCCTATTCATTTGTTTTTGTGCTCATTTGCTTATTTGTTAAATGCTCCATTGGCATCTACTTGTGGGTCACAGAACCACTTCTGTGGAATCTTCAATATCCTGAGGGTTTTTTTATACACTAATGTATTTGGCTAGTTGCTGATGGTCTCTAGGTAGCTTCTAGATGCCCTAGACCAAGGCTGCCTAGTCAGAAGGCTGGGACGCTCAGTCCCACTCAGCAGCCTCTCCGCTGAAAGCCTCGGCTGATGGTCAAGCTGATCACCTTTGGTCAATGACTTAATCCATTATTCATCTACCACAAGGTCTCCTTAAGAACTCAAGGCCGAGTTCGGGGAGTGTCTGGAGAGGTCCCTGAGATGCACAGCGCCTCTGTGCCTCTTCCCACAGAACCTTGCCCTGTGCACTTCTTCAGACGGATGCTTCCCAAAGAGCTGATGTTAAGGGAAAAGAAACACGGGACCACATGCAAGTCCTGCTCTGTCACTTAATGGCTGTGACTTAGGGCTGGTGCACCCTGAACCTTGTTGGTAGAAAAGAACTAATAAGAGGATGTGCCTCACAAGTTTATGAATGGAGTAAGGGAGAGAAGCAGGGAAAGGGCCCGGCTCTCAGTGAAGGCTGGCTACCACTGCTCTTGCAGGCTTGGCATTAAAAAATGAAAAAATAGCCTGGTGCTGGTGGCCCATGCCGGTAATCCTAGCCCCTCAGGAGGCTGAGATCTGAGGATCACAGTTTGAAGCCAGCCAGGGCCACGAAAGTCTGTGAGACTCTTATCTGCAATTAGCTACTAAAAAAATCCAGAAATGGAGCTGTGGCTCAAATGATACATGCTAGCTTTGAGCTAAAAAAAAGCTCAGGGATAGAATACCCTAGCACCTAGGCCCTGAGTTCAAGCCCTAGAACCCCACCTCCCCAAACCAAATGATACAAATAGGCACCAAAAACTGTTAAAGGGGAAAAGCAGTATTGAAGTTCAAGGGAGAGAAACAATTAGAGAATCATGATCCAGTATTTTTTTTTTAATGGAAGGGGTTAGAAATTAAGAAATCTTCATGTCAAACATTTGGGGTTCATTCCTGGAACAGATAGACCTTATTTTATTCTTGGCCCCGCCATTGTTGTTTCTTTTTGTTTGTTTTCTTGTTTCCATTTGGAGTTTATGCTCAGGTGTGTTTCATGTATCTGTGGCTCCTTAAACCCTTCTGCTGTCAGACTGTACATTACAAATACACGAGGCTTCGTCTTCTGGGTTGTCTCATTTATGTCTCTTAACAGGTGCCAACAAGGGCAAAGAGCACACCGAACGCTGACCTAGAAGATCTGCCCACGCCAAGCAGCTCAGTTGATGGTCACAAAGAAAGCCAGAGCTCTACCACCCCACAGGTGGCAACACGCCACCCTGTGGATAAGAAGACAGGTCACCCCAACAGAGGTGGGTGGACCTTTGTGGAATCTGGGTGTTCTAATTACAATTAGAACCAAGAGCAGACCTACTGGTTCTAATAGGAGACAGTATATTGGTTTGAATATAAGACAATCAATATAAGGAGTGAATCCTAAACCAAGCTTTTATGTGATGGGCTCGGAATTTGATTTTTTGGTGGCTAATTCAAATTCAATTTACTGAGCTGCTGGAAACATCTCTCTTTCTCCTCTCTCTCTAATGTCTATAGTAATAGTGAGGATGTTTTTATAAAGAGAGGGTAAGTGAATTAGCTCCTTCTGTTGCTTTGCTGACACCAAAGAGCATGAAGCTCAGCCAGTCTATGTATATCTTAAGTGATTCAGCAACACGGTTTTCCATTTTCCTTTACGTTGTACACATGGGGGCAAGGATCAGATCTAAACCAGACTTACCAGGATTGGGGTGGTGCTCGTGATTCTGCTGGGCCCACAGTGTGGTAGAGAAACTTCAGTCAGGCTGGAGGTGTGGCTCAAGTATAGAGCGCCAGCTTGCTCAGCAGGCAGAGTGAGTGTGATACCCCCGAGCTCAAATCATGACACTGGCAAAAAAAGGAAAAACATGAAATGGGTACACAGAAAGATCAACTGATACTGAAACTGGGGTCTAAAAAGACCCCAAGCCCCAATTCCAGGAGTCTCACATGTCAGGTCTAGTCATTTGCTTTTAAATAAAGAGACACCATAGTGAAGGGCAGGTAGAGGTGATTTATTACTTGGCAGCCATGGGGACACCTCCAGCCATCTTTAAGAATACTGTACAGGGCTGGGGGCTGGGAAGATGGCTCAGTGGTAGAGTGCTTGCCTTGCATGCATGAGGCCCTGGGTTCAATTCCTCAGCACCACATAAACAAAAAAAAAGAAAAAAGCCGGAAGTGGCGCTGTGGCTCAAGTGGTAGAGCGCTAGCCTTGAACTGAAGAGCTGAGGGACAGCGCCCAGGCCCAGAGTTCAGGCCCCATGACCGGACCCAAAACAAAAAAAAAAAAACAACAAAAAAAACTGTACAGGGCTAGAGGTAGCGTGCTTGCCTTGCATGCATGAGGCCCTGGGTTTGATTCCTCAGTACCACATAAGCAGAAAAAGGCAGAAATGGCACTATGGATCAGTGGTAGAGCACTAGCCTTGAGCTGAAGAGCTGAGGGACAGGGACAGTGCCCAGGCCCAGAGTTCAAGCTCCATGACTGACAAAAAAAAAGAATATTGCACAGAGGTTTGCTGTAGCCTTCAGTAGACAAGGAATGGGGGCAGGTGATGGGAAAGGTGTGCTTAGTTCAAACTGTCCCAGTCATGGGCATGGCCTGGTTGATGTCCCTGGACCACCTCACCACTTGAGGGAAACAGAAGCAGCCCATCAGTATTGCCTGGCTGCAGGTCTGTCCTGTGCCCTCCTTTGGACAAGATGTGAATGAGTAGCTAGCATTGCCCATCCGAGGGGCAATGTGCCTTCTGTCACAAGATGCCATCACTGGTAAATCCCACCCTTCTTGGAGCCCAAGGTGACTTCAGGAGAGAATGGCTCCTATCAGAGGGCATGGATACCAATTGTGTGTGTGTGGGGGGGGGGGGACTTGGTGTCTGGCTGGCTTTTCTTCTGCTTTGAGTTAATTCATACTCAGCCAAAGCAACTTTGACCTTGCCCCTTGCTACAGGATTCCGCTCCTATGAGGTATCCAACACAGGGAAATTCATAGAGTTGGAAAGTGGACAGCACTGGTAGTGGCTGGTGGCTGAGGGAAGGGACAAATGTGGAGTGTGGTTCAGTGAGTGTGGAGTTTCAGTTTTGCAAGACGGAAAGAACTGTGTGGTCTAGGGATGTTGTCCTATGGTCTAGGGATATAGCCCTGTGGTAGAGTGCTTGCCCAGCATGCATGAGGCCCTGGGTTTAATTATTAGCACTGGAAAACAGAGAGAGAGAGAGAGAGAGAGAGAGAGAGAGAACTGTGAATAGATATATTTAACACCATTGAAATGAATCCTTAAAATGGTTAATTTAATACATTTTCTGCTGTGTGTATTTTAACCACAATTTTTAGAGAGAATATTTTATTAGGAGAAAGCTTCTTGCTGAAGCAGAGGATAGAGAGCTGGAGACAACAGCCCCAATCTTCCCAAATCAGCCCACAACTCTGCAAGTACATGCTGGACCTCACCACAGGCCGTGGGCTCTCTGCGATGGTCACAATGGGCTGGGTATCAATGGCTCTGTTTCTTTTGCTACCATGATCTCTGAAAGCATTTTGACCATTTATTTCACAGCTGTGCCTCAGTGTACTTTGATTTCTTTTCTTCCTTTGATTTTTTCTTTGTTTTTAAGTACTGCGATTTGAAGTCAGGGCCTCATACTTGAGTCAGGTGCTCAACTACTGTGGGCCACATCTCTGCTGTAGTGTGTGTATGTGAGAGAGAGAGAGAGAGAGAGAGAGAGAGAGAAAGAGAGAGAGGGAGAGAGAGAGAGAGAGAGAGAGCCCGTGCACGCACATTGATTCTGGGGCTTGAACTCAGGACCTAAACAATGCCCCTTAGCTATGCTTTTCACTCAAGGCTAGAGCACTCTACCACTTAAGCCACAGCACCACTTCTAGCTTTTTGATGGTTAATTAGAGAAAAGAGTCACATAGACTTTTCTTCCCAGGATGGCTTCAAACTGTGATCCTCTAATCTAAGCCTCCTGAGTAGCTAGGATGACAGGTGTGAGACACAGGTGCCCAGTTTAAATCCTTAATAATTCTTTATCATTGTTTATCTTTTTGCCGACAAAGTGGCTGAAGAGAAACAGACAACAGACAAGAATGGAAGATTTTTTTTTGCATCCAGTTAGTCAAATGGGAATTGAAAGGACAATTTCTTTGCATTTAATTTTACAGATGGATTGCATTCTTTTCTGGACTATAGCCAAAAGGAACAGAATAAGATTCCTTTTCAAAACAGATTTCGTGCTTCTTTCTTTTTGAAATTTTAATTCAAAGAGAAAAGGGAATCCCCTATATGTGAGAAAAACTTAAAAAGCCAGGTACCAGTGGCTCACACTTGTAACCCTAGTACCTGAGGCATCTGAGATTTGGGGATCATAGTTTGAAGCTAGCCTGGGCAAGAAAGTCCATGAGACTCTTACCTCCAAATAACCAGCAGAAGACTGGAAGGGGTACTGTGGCTCAAAGTGGTAGAGCACTGCTGAGAAAAGAAAAGAAAAAAAAGGCAGAGCTAGCCAGGCACCACTGGCTCACTGTATAAAATCCTAGCTCCTCAGGACATTTAAGCATCAAGGTTCAAAGCCAACCTAGACAGAAAAGTCCATGTGACTCTGACCTTCAATTAAGCAACAAAAAAGGTGGAAGTGAAGGTATGGCTCAAGTGGCAAAGCACCAGCCTTGAGCAAAAAAGCCAAGTGTGAGGCCCTGAGTTTAAACTCTAGTGTGCACACACACACACACACACACACACACACATAGCGCAATGGTAAAGCACTTTCCTAGCATGGGATCCCAGCATTGCAAATAGATAAATGACCATTGTGGAGCAGGGAATCGATTGAGTGTTGCTGGGGATGAATGGAGAAGCCCATAGAGTAGACCTGTGGGAGAAGGTCCACCAATTGATGGAGGCCCTGGTGTTCTAATGCTTGAGAGTCATTCATTCATAACATGAATGAATTCATAAAATGGGATTCGCTTAGGGCTGGGGATGCAGCTCCATGATGGAGCATTCACCAGGCGTGCTCAAGGCCCTGGAAAGATGAGCTCAATGTTCTGCTTGGTCTGGGGGAGACGACGTGGAACTTCATTTGCTGTGTGCAGTGACATGGTACCATTGTTGACCAGCAGTAACATCCTGCCGTGCAGGGCTGTTTCTCATCTGGTCCTCATGCCTTCTTTTCCACTCCCTTTCAGGTGGTCTGGCTACAGCGGACCTGGTTGGCATAATCATTGGGGTCTTACTAGCCATTGGCTTCATTGGAAGCATCATCATAGTGGTTATACGGAAAGTTTCCGGAAGGTTCTCGTAAGTAAACTCCTGAAAGTGATTCCTGGAAGTAAATTACAGGCAGTCTTGCATGGTGTTTAGGCTCTCAACTATTAGAAATCTCTACATGAAGGTGATGTTTGAAACCCATTATCACAAGAACTGCGAATTCCCCAGAATAGATGTGGGCTTATAGGTCTAAAACTAGGAAGCCAGAGCCTGGGAGGGTTCTTAAGGTGACCTCTGTAGTTGAGATCTGACCCAATCTGATCTTTGTCTTCATTTTCCATCTAGCTGAATGAGAAAGAAAACCCAAACCAAATTTTAACTTGAGACCTCATCTCACCCATATGACCTGCCCAGCTTCCCACTATTGGAAGGAGGAAGTTTCTAGAAGAGAGCTTGTTGACAAGAGTGGTGGTGATGATGGGAGGGGATTTATGATCTAGAACCTTCCATCCTCTCCCCCCGGGTCCTTCTAAATTCCTACCACTGACTATTGATGAGAGGAAGACGTTCTTTCTCTTTATTGTATTTCTTTTAAGAATTCAGAGTGTTTGGTCAAGGTTGGTCGCTCACTCTTGTAATCCCAGCTACTTAAGAAGTGGGCGTCTGGCTGGGCACCAGTGGCTCACACCTGTAATCCTAGCTACTCAGGAGGCTGAGATCTGAGGATGGCGGTTCAAAGCCAGCCCAGGCAGCCCAGGAGACTCTTTTTTTTTTTTTTGTCGGTCGTGGGGCTTGAATTCTGGGCTTGGGCACTGTCCCTCAGCTCAAGGCGAGCACTCTACCACTTGAGCTACAGCGCCACTTCTGGTTTTCTGGTGGTTTTTATTGGAGATAGGAGTCTCACGGTCTCTCCTGCCCGGGCTGGCTTTGAACCACGATCCTCAGATCTCAGCCTCCTGAGTAGCTAGGATTACAGGTGTGAGCCACCAGTGCCCGGCAGCCCAGGAGACTCTTATCTCCACTTAACCACCAGAAAACCAGAAGTGGCACTGTGGCTCAAGTGGTAAAGTGCTTGCCTTGAGCTGAAGAGCTCAGGGACAGTGCCCAAGCCCAGAGTTCAAGTCCCACAACCAAAAAAAAAAGTGGGTATCTAATGTTTTCTCTCATATGTGTCAAATGTGGGAGTTTAGCTCTAAATTAGAAATATATATATATATATGTAAAATTACACAGGGTTATATGCATCTGTATACAAACATATTAGCTCTCAAATATGGTATACGTAGGAGAGGATTGAATAACTAACATTTTATAAAATGCAAACCAGAAAACTGGAATTTGTATTGTGTGGGACTGAGACCAAGGGGAGTGGGGCAGACAGAGGGAGAGAGGAAGGGTCGGTGTATGTAATCATAATATTCAATGTACACATGTGAAAATGGAACTAGAAAAATGGAGGGGACGGGTGGGGGAGAGATGGAGGAGAATGATGGAGGGGTGACATTGGCCAAGACGTACTGTACGCACAAACTGGCATGGTGAATTGAAGCCCCTTTGTGCAACTACTTAAAGATAAATAAATAAATCAGCCAATAAATAATTTATTTTGTTGGTCCTGGGGCTTGAACTCAGGGCCTGGGTACTGCCCCTGAGCTTCTTTTCCTCACGGCTAGCATTCTTGCCCCTTGAGCCTCAGCCCCTCTTCCACCTTTTTCTGAGTGGTTTATTGGAGTCTCACAAACTTTCCTGCCTGAGCTGGCTTCAAATCATGATCCTCAGTTTCAGCCTCCTGAGTAGCTAGGATTATTCGAGTGAGTCATCGGTGCCTGCCTTTAAAAATATTTTTATAAAGAGAAATAACTTTGAAAAAATGGGCATCTAGTAGATTGCATTTCAAGGCCAGCCTGGGCTGAGACCCTATATAAAAATTAAACTAAAGCAAAAAGGACTGGAGGCCTGGCTTAGGGAGTAAAAGGTCCCAAGATCCAACTCCAGTATGCCAGCAACAAAAAGGAGACAAAGAAGCAGAGCATTCAAATTCATGACCAGAGGAGGAAAACTTTTGTTTTGTCTTTAGAAGAGATGGATTGTGCTGGAAGCCTACGGGGAAGGACAGGTGGCAGACATCTAGGGGCCAGGGGACATGACGCAGCTGCAGAAGTATTGTGTTTGGAGATGTTTGCACATCTAACCTGGCTTAGGAAGGAGAGGAAGAGGAGAGGGGTGCATGCCAGGTTCCGGAACTGGTAGTCAGAGAAAAAGACCCCAGGAGCGCTGATTTGTGGGTTTGTTATTCACAGTGCCAGCAAAACAATTCACCATCCCCTTTCTTGGTGTCCACAGGCCCTGAAGGATGAGCCCATCTAAACCATTTTGGACTCCCTCTGCCCTCTGCTCCCTGCCCCCCACCCCCAGCTTGTGGGAGAAGATGACCCACAGGATACTGGCCAGCCTCCTTCCCATCCTGCAGTGAGCCAACCAACTTGCCAAAAGAAACCGGAGGAGAGAGAATTCACCAGACTTGGCTACTCTAAACAATTGTTTTTTGGAAAAAAAATATTTATATACAATACACAGATTTTATATTAGATGACTTAAACAACCAGATACATGGAAAATGGAGCAAAACTATGTCAGGAGGCTGAGATCTGAGGATCGCAGGTTGAAGCCAGACCAGGCAGAAAAGTCCATGAGTTTCATATTTCTAATGGACTAGCAAAAAGCTAGTAGTGGAGGTGAAGCTCAAGCCGTAGAGGCCTGGACTTCAAGCCCTAATACGGGCACCAAAACAAATCAACAACAACAACAACAAAGAAAACCAACAAAAATAACCAGAAAAAAAGAAAAGAAAAGCTCAACTATGTCAGCTGATTTAGAACTGAGAAAACATGGTTCAGTTGATGGTAGAGAGAGGAGTCTCTCTTCCCTTTGGCTGTTCTGTGTTATTGTTGAAATGCAAAGGAATCTGAAGCTGTTTATGTTCATGGAGTCCTTGGGTCTTCATGTGACGTCAGTAGACAGCTCAGACATTTTTTTCAGTGCTCATCTGTTGAGATCTACACATTCCAGCCAGATGTGAATAATCAAGGAGTAAATCTGCACTTGGACGATTATGTGATGAGCAACTTCTTTGAGGGGGTCTGGATGTATCATTTCAAAAGCATCTATGTGGTTTCCTAGCCGGAAGTCGGTACTCGAGGGAAGGTACTTTGTTCCTCACAAGGTCACCTAGCAAACACAAGGCCAGTGATGACCACAACTCCAAGGTCTGTGTCACCTACCTACTCTAGATGACCGGAAGCACTCTGTCTACTTGGCAGCAGTGATAGGCTGCTTTGTCCTGCGAAGCTCTCTGTCTCAGACACAGAAGCCATTGGATGCTCCATGATGCCAGAGACTCGACTGTTCTAGAGCCAAGCACCACACCAGGTTCTGATGCAGAAAGCGTCCCTAAAGTTCTCCTGGCATGGTGGGGGTGAGGGAAGACTTGTGTTGTGTTGTTTTGTTTTGCTCTCTCCCCCTGGAGGACAGATAGGGAGAGTTCAAATAATCTTATACAATACTATTATCTTTAAAGCAATCTGATTAAAGAAGACCTGATTTTCAAACTAAAGGCTATTCTCAGTCCTTACACTATGGGGTTATCATGAAAAGATAAAAATACAGTTGTCTGTCTCTGTCCCATCCAGCTCAGGGCTACTCTTCTGCGGAGTCTGGTTTGGTTTGGTTTGAGTTTGGTTCTCCCCATGTAAAAATTTCTCACACTGCCCAGATGCTGTGTCATGACCGTGACTGCACACCCTGACATCCTCTGAACTGGACTGAGTGCATCATGCAGGAAAAAATAACCCACTCACCAGATGCCTGGCCTGGGCCTCTTGCCCGGCAAAGCGGTATGTGGATGTTATTCTAAACAACCCATCCATATCCGTGGGTCCTCAAGCCAAGTGGTGCATTTATGTCATTCAGAAGAATATTGATCCATTTATTTTGTCCCAGCCCGTCTTTCCTCTTCCACCTCCTACACTGGACCTGGAGCCTGCTGGCACAGGCTATGGATTCTCAGTTTCACCTGTTAGGACTCAATGCAGTGCAGACACATTTTCCAATAAAACATGATTGCATATAAAGCCTGAGACAGACCTCTGATTGGAATACCTATTGCATCTGGATCATTCTACTCCTGGCAAAGATTATAGCTTATGTGAAATACTTGCCTCTTTTAGCTGGGTGCCAGTGGCTCTCGCCTAAAGCACAACAAAGCGCAAAGATAGCACCCAGGGCCTGAGTTCAAGCCCCAAGACCAGAAAAAAAAAACAAAAACCATCCCCTAAAACCTAGTCGTGTGTGTGTGTGTGTGTGTGTGTGTGTGTGTGTGCTGACACTGAGATTTGAACTCAGAACCTGGGTGCTGTCCTTTAGCTTTTTCACCCAAAGCTGATGCTCTACTACTTGAAAGCTCTGCTTCTGAAAGAAATTTTTTTGTTTGTTTTGTTGGCCATGGGGCTTAAACTCTGGGCTTGGGTACTGTCCCTCAGCTCTTCAGCTCAAGGCAAGCTCTCTACCACTTGAGCCATAGTGCCACTTCCGGTTTTCTGGTGGTTAATTCGAGATAAGAGTCTCACGGACTTTCCTGCCCGGGCTGGCTTTTTGAACCACAATCCTCAGATCTCAGCCTCCTGAGTAGCTAGGATTACAGGTGTGAGCCACTGGTTCCTGGCTTCGCAGTGATATTTCTATACCTTCCTATAAGGCACTTTGAGCATTTCTATTATGCCTCCTTCTCCAACCCTCCCCTTTTTTATGTCTCCTGAATATGTGTGTGTGTGTGTGTGTGTACGTACATGTTGCTCAAGGTGAGCACTCTACCACTTGGGCAACAATTCCAGCTTCTTGCTGGTTCATTGGAAATAAGAGTCTCACAGGCTTTTCTGCCTGGGCTGGCTTTGAACAGTGATCCTCAGATCTCAGCCTCCTGACTAGCTAGGATTGCTGGTGTGAGCCACTGACACGTGTTTTGTAAATGGATTTTGTTATGACCTTTTCACACATGTATGCGTGAATATTGACCCTTCTAGACCTCTCTCCTACCCTCTCACTGCTCTCACTGTCTGCTGGCCCCCCCCCCCCCCCCCCCCGCCAGTAATCCCTCTCTTACTTCATGCCCAGCTCTTCTGCACATGAGAACACCTAGGTGACACTATCTTTCCTTAGCTCTTATTTGGTATTTGGCATTCAGGGTGTGTTTATGAGAAATGCTCCAATGGGGGCTCCTGTAGAGTTGGATATTAAAGCTTTTTTTGGTGGTTGTTTTGCTAGTGGAGGGGTGTAACAGGATGTTAGCACACAGCTGGGACTCAGCTTTGGGGCTTGTGGTCTGTGCGGGGGCTTGGGCCCTGAGCACCTGACTCTCATGTTGGCCTTGCTCAAGCTTGAAGTTGCTTAGAAGACGTGGCGTTGTAATTCCGGGGACTGGGGTTGCTAGACAACTGCGCAGAATCTATTTGAAATCTTGGGGTGGTGGGGGCCCCCCACTGGTATGAAGAAGGTGTGGTCCATGGCCCAGGTGACAACGGAGAGGCCTGCACAGGCCAAGGGCCAAGGAAGGCACCAGCTCTGTCCCTCAGTGCTGCTGTGCTGAGATCATCTAGTGGACACAGCACAGGCCTGGGCTCTAGTTCTGTGCCCTAGGGCTCCGGCCTGGATACACATGGTCCTGACAATGTGCCCTCCTTCCCTCCCTCCCTCCCTCTACTCTTTGTTCCCCTCTCTCCTTCCCTCCCTCCCTCTTTGTTCCCTCCCTTAATCCTTCCCTCCCTCCTCCCTTCCTTCCTTCCTTCCTTTCTTCCTTCCTTCCTTCCTTCCTTCCTTTCCTCCCTCCCTTTCTTTCCCTTTCCCCTGCCCTTCCCCTCTCCTTCTCCCTCTTCACCCCCCCTCCCCTTCGTCTCTTCTCTTTATTGTTTTGTCAGTTGTGGGGCCTGGGCACTGTCCCTGAACCTCTCTGTGCTCAAGGCTAGCACGCTACCATTTGAGCCACAGCACCACTTCCCATTTTCTGGTGGTTTATTGGAGATAAGAGTTTCTCAGCTGTTCCTGCCTGGGCTGTCTTTGAACTGTGATCCTCAGATCTCAGCCTCCTGAGTAGCTAGGATTATAGGCATGAGCCACTGGTGCCTGGCTCTCATCTTTATATTTGAATTCTGAATTCTTTTTTGGGATTCGAATGGGCAAGCATTCTATCACTGAAGTCGCACCTCCAGCCTTTTTTTCTTCATAAGCTTGAAGCTTGTAGAAGGTCTAGATTTAAATTCAAATAGTTACTTTTGTAAATAGCTTCACACACACACACACACACACACACACAAATCATTTGTTCCTATCTATTTTCCTTCAGAGGAACACTTGACCTGACTTTTTTTTTCTATAGGAAAACATTTGCATGACAGGTTTATTATTTCCTTTCAAAACGATAGAGATGTCTCATCCACATTCCACAAAGATACGTTTAGAACTAGTTCATTATTTCTAATAAAAGTACAACTTAGTGAGTTTTAAGATCACCATTTATTTTCAAATGCTAGATAATTTATCTAACCAAGGATGGAAGAGGTTTTCTTTTCCTTGTCTTTGTTGTGGTTTTGTCGGTTTGTAAGACAGATTCTTGTTGGGTCGCCCAGGCCCATCTCACACTTGAGAGCTCCTGTCTCAGCTTCCCAAATGCTAAGATTATAAGCATACACCACCGTACTTGCTAACAAGTCATGCTTAGCTTGAGATTTTCTTAATGTGTAGAGAAAACACTTAAAGATGTGAATCAGAGAAGGCCTTCTAGTGACTAGAGTCCACGAAATTTGTGGAATGATGTCAAAACTAGGAAGAGCTCACTATGGACAACTTCTCCAAAATGAGAAAGAAAACCTAGGCATAGAAAGTTCAATGTTTCTTCTCTTAGAACAAAGGAATACACTTGTTAATGGAGTCTTTCTACACAACTTATTATATCCACATCACTGTCAGAAAGCAGCACAAGTCAAACTACCAAGAGGAGGTTGAATAGTGGCTTTCCCAAAATATGTCCAGGTCCCTATCCTTGGTCCTCACGAGAGTGACCATATTGGAAAAAAAGAGTCTGTGATGTAACGAGTTTCTCAAGATAAGACCGGTGAACCAAAAGGCAGTATTTTTACACAGAGAGCAGACAAGACCTTTGAAGAAAAACACAGAGGAGATGGAGGCAGGTAGAGAGAAGAGGGATGTAGCCACAAGCCAAGGCCAGCTGGGAACCCCAGAGCTGGAAGAGGCCCAGAGACCACCCCTCTCACTCCTTTGGAGGGAGCTGGCTCTGCCCTGGCCTGGATTTCCAAGCCTTGTGGCCTTCAGAGATGTGAAAGAACACATTTCTCTCATGTGACA